GAATGAAACTCGTGCTGAGTGGCTGTGGATTGCTTCAAAGGTTGCATCTTAACCCCTGTACCACCAGGGAGGCCCTAAGGTTTATTTGTTTATGCATACAAGAATTGGGGTGTAAGCCAGAGGTGCAGGGGGTGAGATAATTCACCAGAGAGAGTAGGGAGCATTACAGGAAGATCTACTAACATACACTGCTGAGGGGAGCAGCAGGTCAGACAGGAGAGGTCTGCTGCACCATGTGGGTAGTTCCCTGGTAGGCTGTGGATAGAATTCCTGTTACAGTGGCTGGCTAGATAGTTTGAAAACTGGTGGCGAAGGCACCAGCAAGACCCAGGATTTGGAACTCTTAATGAATAATCTACATTCATGGCAATACAGTTATTTATGTAAGTTCCTATTTTATGCAAGTGCATACAATAAGACACATGTGATAACTTCATTTATATTATTACTAAGACTGACAAGAATGCCATATTTAAGAATGATGCATAAAATCAGGCATAATCAGAAAGGTTTAGGGAAATAACACTGAATTTAAAGAGCTGATGCTCATAAAAGAGCCCTTGGAAAAACTAGTCTACACCTTGCATACAGGGTTTCCAGGCAGCCTTACAGGTGAATTATAAAGGTCACTTCCTGGCAAACAAAGGCAACTCTGGATATGCTGGGAACCTTGAGTAGAGAAGAATTCACATAAGTGTATAATTATTGTAGACGGAGTCTCATAGGGAGGATTGGCTTGGCTTCCTAGCCTCAAGATGTTTTTCAAAGTCCCATACATGATTCCTTATGAAAAGTTTCAGTAAAACAAACTGAAAATATTTATTTGGCCAATCATTTTAGTGCAATCTTGTTGCTAATATAAATTACCAGACCAAGTTTAATGAAACTAGACTGATTTTGCAAATTAGTCTTACTTTATTTATCTCTACAGCAAATGGGGGTCACTCTCGAGAGAAAAATGATGCTTCAGTAGAAAACTACAGCATTGTCTGGTGGGTATTTAAATCCTAGTTGAATTCACTGTCATTACCTTCCTGAACTCTTCTAGTTTTCTCCAATATCTGACTACAACTTAAAAGTTTCCCTTGTCCCAAGCCCTACAAGCTAAAGCTGAACAATCTGATATAAATTTAGGAGAAATTATGACAGCATGTGGGTCACTCAGAAAGTTCACTGTTACCTATGGGTTGCTCAGAAAGTTCACCAAATCAATTAACAAGATCACCAGAGAACATTCAAAGTGTACAGCAGGAAAAGAAAGTCTATCATCTGGCAGTATTTGTCTCATTTCATCTAAAGACATGTCAAAGCAAATCTCTAGGACATCTTCGCAAATGACTGATCTTCTGGACTAAAAAGCTGAGTTTATAGTTTGTTCCAAACACTAACTTTTGTATTTCTTTTGTTCCCACAGAAATGCCCAGGGTTGTGAAAAAGTTCAATGTATAGATATTATGGGTGATTTTGCCAACTCAATTTCAGGTGGGAGATTGACAAAATATGGTACCTTGGCATATTAAATACTTCAAAGTAAAGAATTTGACAAATGGGGTGTGCAGGAAAGACTTTCTCACCTTTCCCTGAAGTGGATCATAAAACCCTCAAGTGAGAGAAGTCCCCCCATATCTGGAGGACAGGAACATCCTTATATTCAAGATCATAAAACACTGAGAAGAATCTAAACACAGAGACCTTGAGGGTCTAAATATAGAGAATACATAAAAAACAATTAAAAACTCAACAACAAAGACAAACAGCCCAATTAAAGGACTTGAACCAACATTTCTACGAAAGGAATATCCAAAAAGCCACAAGGACATGAAAAGATGCTCAGTGAAAAGATGGACATTAGGGTAATGCAAATGAAATCACAATGAGATCCCACTTTACACCCAAGGCGGCAATGGTTAAAAACAAACAGAAAATAATAAGTATTGACAAAAAAGTGAAGAAATTAAAATTCATGCATTGTTAGTAAAATTATAAAGTGGTGTAGTCACTGTGGGATATAAATTTTCAGTTACTTATAAAGCTAAACACAGAATTACCATATGACCCAGCAATTACACATCTAGGTATACACTTGAAGAAATTGACAAATGTTCACAAAAACTTGTAAATGAATGATTATAGCAGCACTATTCGCAAAAATCAAAAAATGGAAACAAACTCAAATGTTTATCCAATGGATGATAGGAGAAAGAGAATGCATTAATATAATTGAGTATTATCCATCATAAAAAGGAGTAAAGTACTAATACATGCTACAACATGACTGGACCTTGAAAACATTATGTCAAGTAAAAAAATCAGACACAAAGGCTATATACCATATGATTCTATGTATATCAAATATCCAGAATAGGTGAATCCATACACTCAGAAAGAAGATTAGCTATTGCCAAAAACTGTGGGTAGGAAAGAATGGAGAGTTAAAATGGGTTTTCTTTTGGGGGAATAAAAATGTTATGGAACAAGACAATCAGGATGATTGCACAGCATTTTGAATGTACTAAATGCCACTCAGTTGTACACTTTGATGAATTCCATGTGTATTTACTACAAATTAAAAAAAAATTAATAAAAAAATAAAATTCTTTAAAATATTGGCATGCTAAAAAACTGTGATAGGATAATTTATAAAAAGTACCTTAATTATTTATAAAGGTTTGATACAAAGATATAGTATCAGTCTCAGAAATTATCAGGCTAGGTAATCAAAACTGATGCATAGATTATATACCAAGAAATAATTATTGCAAAATTCCTCATATAAAAATGAACAGGCTACCAGAAAGTAAATGCTCATTGAAACATTATATTCCAAATGCCTTATAAAAAAATTTAAAAGTACATATGACCAGGCCATATGGAAATAAATTTATTTTTTTAATTTAAATTTTTTTTTTTTTTGCAAAGAAGAACTGGGTATAGGCCAGACATGCTGGGGATGAGGACCCACCAGAGACCGAGTGAGGAGCAGAACAGGTAGATTCACTAAAATTCACTGCAAAGGGGAGCAGTGGGCGAGACAGGAGAGGTCTGCTTTGCCATATGTGGGTTAGTTCCCTGGCCAGGGATCAAACTCAGGCCATAGTGTGATAGTGCTGAGACTTACCCCTAGGTCATCAGAGAGGCCCCATATGTAAATAAAGTTAAACACCTCCAGTAACAAAGTGAAGTTTTTCAACAGAACAGTCTCACAAAATATAACAGGAGCTAATCAAACAAATTAACCTAGTAATTTCAGTTTGGGTACTGCACTTAAGTGAATGCCCAAGATAGAGGACAAAGGAAATGCTTTGGAAAAAAAGACACTCATAGCCATGACAACTAACATGAGAAAATATAAGTTAAATAGTAAAAGAGGAGGGTTAAATCAGCTATTATTATTGCTTAAGCACAATGGAATAAAGAGAAAGATCATATACATATATGTGTCTATATACATGGGTCTATACATATGTGTCTATGTGTGTCATTATATGTATAAATATATATAAATGATATATAAAAATATATTTAAGGGCCTCCCCGGTGGCGCAGCGGTTGAGCGCTGGGTTGCGAAGCTGCCCGCGGCCTCTGCGGCGCCGGTTCGATCCCCGGCTGCTCCCCGGCCACCGGCGGAGGATCCCACATGGCGCGCAGACCTCTCCTGCCCCCCGCTGCTCCCCTCAGCAGTGTACTTCAGTCCTTCTGCCTGCTCTGCTCCCCACTCTGGCTCTGGTGAATTCTCTCACCCTCCCGCGCTTCTGACTGTACCCAGTGCATGTATAAACAAAAACAAACAAATAAAATAAATAAATAAAAAACATGCCTCTATTAAAAAATATATATATTTAAAATAACTACACAACTATGGTAGTGTAAGAATTTAAAATTCAACAGGTTCTTTTTAAAATAAGTTGTAGTACAACTATAAGTTTAGAAGAAAATCTTAAGCAACCAAAGTTATTTTATTTTGTCACACCCTTATTCTAAACCTTTTTTTGTTGAGATAAATGTTTTCAACCTAATCCTTCCAACAAGATTTTGAGGAAATATTTTTTTCATTGTATTAAAAAATTAGTCACATTCTTATAAGCTCGTACAATAATTTGGTCAAGAACATACGTATGCTTTAAAATTTCAAGGAAGGAAAGTCAATCATGTGCAAGCTATATATTCACATAATACAGAAATTTGAATATCTATGACAAGACCAACAAAAATAACTTGAAAAAAACAAAAAATGTAATGCTGTAGTTATCACTGAACAAGTAATCTACAAATGACTACCTCTGAACAGCTGTTGCCATAGAAGTCATCATAACAAACAAAAATAAACTGGAGCTTTTAGACAATCTGTCTTTTCAGAAATTGAGGAAAGGAAGAGGCCTTGAAAAAGCAGAAGTGGTAAAACAGAATAGTAAACTGACCTAAAATATACTGTCCTGCCTCAAAGTATCTACTTCTTATATTTCTTGAGAATTCTAAACTTGGAGTTATACAGATTAATAAGCAATGTCCATTTAACAAAATTGAAATTTCTGAATCATTAAGTAGTCATATCTCATTACAGGATATTCTGAATTTGACCATGTTCTTCCATTTCTCGACTAACACCTAAACGGAGCAAACTGTAATTACTAGGGATCAAAAGAGCAGCAGCATTAAGCCTTCATTTTTACTAGCTTAACAAAATATATCTTTTCGACTTTTCCTACAAAGAAGCTTATAGTAATATGAATTAGTAACAATTTTAAAATTAACTCACCTGAAATTTTATTATTTAACTTTGGTGAACAACAGAAGTTTTTTTAAAGTCTTCTTTAAAGAATCTCTATTTAAAACTTGCTTTTCTTTTATATTTTAATACCATCAAACTTTCTCTTCACCAGGGTATTACAACTATACATTCTTTTGTTAGAGATTATAACAATAAAAACCGTAATTGAGCCTTGTAAACAAACATATTTAAAGAAATCTTTTCAGCATAATATTCATCAGCTGATTCTTACTTTGCTTCAACTTATGGAAGTCACCAACTCTCTCCTTGGTAGCCAGCTTTAGCGTATCTGCTTGAATTCTGGATTCACTCTCCAAGTTTGGGCCTGGAATTAAACGCTGAAGAGGATTGGAAGGTTTCTGTTTTGAAGTACCAGGGTTTCCATGAGAATCTATGACATAAAAACATCAAATTAAGGTCATATTTTACCAAGGAATTTCTTAGAAGAGCTAAGACATACTGTTGTCTGATAGTGAGTAGTCGTATAACTTTTTAAAAAAGCGCTATTCTAATTTCTTCAATCAAATCTTATAACCAGTGTGGTTTTAGCTGAGTGAAATCATTCCCCCTTATCTCCAGTACAGATTTTAAGTCTATCCATGAAAGGACTATGTAGTAGAAACACAGAGATTAAATGGCAATGACCTATGGATTTTTTTTCCTCCCTCCAAATTCTACATTGCTGTCAGAAATATTCAAAATCCAGTAAGGCTTTTAGTACTTCTAATCTCTTAAGTAATTTTCATTAATATACTCTTTTTTTTTTTCATTAATATACTCTTACAACTATTAATTCTTGATTCTTTTTCTTCCCTAGCATCCTGTTTTCACTCATCAAAACCTGGATCTAGATCCTTATAATAATTAACTTTAGTCATATCAACTCTCATTTTCAGGGAACATTTCTGTTAAATAGAATAGGTATTTAGCAGAAAACAAATAGATGCATTTATAAATACTAGGTAGAGTTTAATATAGGTTAAATATAGAAATTTATAGAAGCCCTCTATGATACAAATTTGAATACAGTTTGAAGAAATACAGACTGGCAGAGATGAAAGGTAATGTAGCCCATAGTGGCAGAACAAATAATTCTTCTGCTTTCAATAATTCATTAGACAAAGTGCATTTTTATTTTATTTTTTTAAAGATTTATTTATTTATGCATATAAGAACTGGGGTACAGGCCAGAGGTGTGGGGGTGAGAGGATTCACCAGAGACAGAGTGGGGAACAGAACAGGCAGACTGACTGAAATACACTCTTGAGGGGGGTATCAGACAAGACAGGAAAGGTCTGCTGCACCATGTGGGTCACCTCCCTGGCTGGGGATCAAACTCGTGCTGCAGTAGCTGGGGATTGCTTTATAGGGCTGACGCTTAACCCCTTGTGCCACCAGGGAGCCCCCAAAGTATATTTTTAAATCATTATTTTTCCCAGAGCTCTTTTCAAGTCATTAGTAAATATATAATATTACTTATAATAATGAATACTACTTTACTATGCTGCTAAATAATATGTTTTAGTCACTATATAACAATAGTGGTCCAATTAATTGGCTTTTTTCATAAGAATAAGACTTCATACCTGGAACTAAATTTGAGGAGAGAGGTTGTCTAGTTGCGAGATGAGAGACTGCTTGATGACTTTCATATTGAGAGACAGAAATTGGGGGCTTCCTTAAAGCTAAAAGAAAAATTAGATATATATTATTTCCAATTATACTGAACTAATCTTTGATTCCTATTCTAATTTTGTAATCTTTACAGTTGATATACTAAATAATTTATGGTCAGTAAATTAGTTGATTGGCACCTAACAAGAACACAATGAAAATTCAATGAATGAGTGGATAAATGACTCTCTTTAGATACAGTGATTTTTCAACAGTAGGACTTTTTTACATAGAGTGTAAATAATTGGCATTTACAGATTAAGTGAAGCAATGAGAATATGCTATTTTAAGTTGCTTATATTTTATTATTTTTTTAAAGATTTATTTTTATTTTATTTATGCATACAAAACTGGGGTGTAGGCCAGAGGTACGGGGGTGGTATGAGAGGATTCACCAGTGGCAGAGTGGGGAGCAGAACAGGCAGAACGACAGAAATACACTACTGAGGGGAGCAGCGGGTGAGGCAGGAGAGGTCTGCTGTGCATATGTGGGTTAGCTCCAGGCAACCAGAGAGGCCCTAAGTTGATGAGATTTTAAATAAAGATTAAATATGACATGCAACATGTTGAGATTTTATTTTTGAAGACACGTTTTATGTAAAGGACTTTACTAACAAAAATGTACACATTTATAGTTGCACTTTCTTCTCCTTTAAGAAAAGAATGCAATAAGGAAAGAGATTGTTTTTCATTAACTACCACTGTACTACAAACTGGGAAGCTTGCAGAGAGCAAAGAAAGAAACTAGAGAAAAGGGAAACAGATAAAGAGAAAAAAAAAATAGAAAGTCCACTTACAAGATATGTCTAGTGGCACATTTTATTCTAAGAATTTGGTGTGGCAGGGACAATGCTATGTGATCTTATTTCATTGCATTTTTTTTTTTTTTAAGATTTATTTATGTATACAAGAGCTGGAGTACAGGCCAGAGATGCTGGGGGGAGGGGTGCGGGGGGGGGGTTGTTAAGGATTCACCAGAGACAGAGTGGGGAACAGAGTAGGCAGAATGACTGAAACTCCTGAGGGGAGCAGCAGGCGAGACAGGAGAGGTCTGCTGCACCATGTGGGTTGCTCCCTGGCCGGCCAGGGATCAAACTCGTGCTGCAGAGGCTGTGGATGCTTCATAGTGCGATGCTTAACCCCTTGCGCCACCAGGGAGGCCCCTCTTTGCATTTTTCTTGAGCACACAGGAAAATCAGTCTTCCACTGATAAGACTGGGTTCTGAACAAGAGGATGTAGGTGAAACTGAAAGTTCCACTTCCAAGTCTAGAGATAAAATCTATGCAAATCACCTACAGCCTCTCTTCCCTTTTTACCATAACTTAGAAAGCTACATATGAAGATGTTGTCATCAAATAACAGAAGGGGTCACTGCCTCGAGAGAACTGCAGTGAGCAGGCATCAGACTAATATGAATAGTAAATAAAACTTTATTGTTTTAAGTCACTAAAATTTAAGGGTTGTTTGTTAATACATCATGGCCTAGTCAATCCTAACTAGTACACTTGGGTTATTTTTATAAACCTCAAAATTCATTTCAGTGACAATATTTCATTTATTATTACATGGAATTCTGAACTTAAGGATACAAGAAATTAAAAATTTTCTCTAAGGAACAACCTACTCAAATTTATGGAAAGTTGAGGTTTTCTGTATCTCACTGGGTTCCCATTACCTTGTTCCTATTGCCAGTTAATGATGCCCAATATCCACTTGTGCACATAAAAATAGCTAATTAGCAAAAATCAGCTAACATCTTAAAAGAGCAGTACTTTGCCAGGTTTGATTTGCTAACACACTTTGATGACACTAAGGATCTGGTTGATATATTTGGAAAGAGGAGTCAGTTACAATCTACAAATCTGTTGATTTCTGTTAGACCCTATCTGGTTTTAGCACTATACCAGCCAGAAAGACAAGGAAAGGCACCTCTATTACTAAACAAGAATTGATCATTCATGTCATTAACTTTTATAATAGTGTCCTATGATTTAGATAGGTAGAACAAAGCTGGATTTAAAAAAGGTTTTATAAGCCATAATCATCAAAACTGCATGGTATTGGAACAAGAACAGACATACAGACCAATGGAATCGAATAGAAAATCCAGAAATAAACCCACAGATCTATGGTCAACTAATCTTTGACAAAGGAGCAAAGACTATGCATTGGAGCAAAGAAAGTTTGTTCAATAAATGGTGCTGGGAAAACTGGGTTGCTACATGCAAAAGAATGAAGCTTGACCACTACCTCACACCATACACAAAAGTCAACTCAAAATGGATTAAAGAACTAGACATAAGACCTGAAACCATAAAATACACAGAAGGAAATATAAGCGAAACACTACGTGATATTCACATCAAAGACATCTTTACAGACACATCACCCAAAGCAGTGATAGTGAAGGCAAAGATCAACAGCTGGGACTACATCAAATTAAAGAGCTTCTGCACAGCAAAAGAGACAATAACAAAAACAAGGAGAAACCCCACCAACTGGGAGAACATTTTTGCACACAACACTAATGATAAAGGACTGATCACAAAAATCTGCAAAGAGCTGATGAGACTCAACAACAACAAAGAAAATAATCCAGTCAAAAAATGGACAGAAGAGCTAAAAAGAAACTTCTCTGAAGAGGAAATGCAAATGGCCAACAGGCATATGAAAAAATGTTCAACATCACTTGTAATCAGGGAAATGCAAATCAAAACTACCATGAGATACCATCTTACACCAGTGAGAATGGCACATATTAAAAAAACTAGCAACAACAAATGTTGGCGAGGGTGTGGAGAAAAAGGAACTCTTCTGCACTGTTGGTGGGAGTGCAAACTGGTCCAACCACTATGGAGAGCTGTGTGGAGATTTCTGGACCTACTAAACACAGAGCTTCCATATGATCCAGCAATTCCACTCCTAGGTATTTACCCAAAGGACACAGAAACATCAATTCCAGAGAACACCTGCACCCCTATGTTTATAGCAGCACTATTTACAATAGCTAAGCTTTGGAAACAGCCCAAATGCCCAAAAATAGATGACTGGATCAAGAAGATGTGGTACATATATACCATGGAATATTACTCGGCATTCAAAAAAGATAAACACATGCAATTTGCAGCAACATGGATGGCACTGGAAGGGATCATGCTCAGCGAAATAAGCCAGAAAGAAAAAGAAAAATACCGGATGGTCTCACTCATAGCAGGAATCTAGAAAACTTAAATAAGGGACCAGGAAAATGAATAACTATAAGAAAGTGAAAATCAAAATCAACAAAAAACTATGAACCAGAGACACTTTTTGGGGGGTAGGGGGCAGGAGGGGAGGGATTGGGGTCAGAATCGGGGGGTTGCAATTGTATGGGGAATATAAAAATAAAATTTATTATTTAAAAAAAATAAAAATAAAAAATAAAAAAGGTTTTATAAAACAACCAGAGGAACTTAGATCTGATACAATAGAAGTAAGAGTATTAAGGTGCCCTTACAAGTGTGACATTAATAATACATGTTTCTAAGAAGTCTTAAAAAATAGAAAAGTCCAAAGAAATGTAACAATAATCTATGATATTCAAGCAGTTCTAACTATGTATTTCACTCCGGTCCTCTCCACTGAAGATCACTGGGAGTAAGGAGAAAATATATATGTCAAAAGAGATTAACATGCTGCTATCAGATATATCATTATAATCATTATTAAGGACAAGTAAAAAAGATAAAATGATAAAATCTATTTACCATAAAGAAAAAAGACAGGATACCAAAGGCACAGAGCACATAGATTTTATCCTGATACTTATGGTCCTGGGTTTTCTATTTCTTATAAAGAACTACTGGTATGGAAATTCATTCTACAATATTAAGTGTCTACTATATACTAAGTATTGTGTCAAAATATGGAGATTCAGCAGTGGGGGGGGGGAAATAAACCCAAACCAAGTTATCACCCTGAGAAGATAGCATTCTTGTTGGGTAGATAAAAACAAGTTAATAAAAAAGTATGAATAGAACATAAATGTCAGAGTGAAACGTGTTATGTAGAAAGTAAAATAGAGAGGTTTATGACAGAGTGGTGGGAGATTCTATTTTAGAAACGAAGGCATTTTTGGGGAAGAGTCATTTGAGCAGAGGTATGAAGAAGAACATTTAGGCAGATTATAAACAATTATAAATAAAAACAATCAGATAGGAGCTTGTCATAGTATATTTGAAGAACCACAAAAGAAAGGAGTGAGGGGAAAGAGAAATGAAGTCAGAGAGGAAAAGAAGAAATCACATTAGAGACACAACAGTAAAATTCTTAGGAATAAGAAATAAATAAGTGGTTATAGTGTTGGGGGACTGAGAGTAGGAACTACATTTCATAATTGTAAAGGAAGAAATAACAGTACTAATTATAATACCAGTAGCTCCTATTTTCTAAGTACTCAGGATAAGCCAGGCAGTAATTTCAAGTCACACTTACATTTATCTGAGATAGAATCATCTCTACACATGAGAAACTGAAACTCATGACAGTAGAGATGAGTCTTACCTCTCAATAGAGTGAAAAATTTTCAAGTAGTCATTTCTGGAGAAACTGGCTTACAAAAAGTAAACGGTTTGGGCTAATCTTCCTCCACTTCTCACTTAGCCCTCAGTTGTAGTCTTTACCTGAGAGTCAAAATAGAATTGTCTTTTACTCTCATTTTCTTATTCCAGTGACAGGGCTACAATTTAAAAAATGCCTATATTTCCAGTTTTCTGTTGTCACAGTCCAGTGTATACTACTATATAAGAGGAATATGGGCCTAATTAATGGTCTTCAGCTCTGGCTGCACTTTAGTATTACAGAAAACAGCCCAAATATACTTAAAATGGGAGTGGTATTGAGTATCTATATGTATTAAAAGCTCCAAAGGTGGTTCTACTATGCAATCAAGAAAATAATATATACAATAAAAAACATAGGCTTTAGGGCCTCCCCTGGTGACCCAGGCGGTTGAGTGCAGCACTGTGAAGC